AAGGTGTTGCGTAACACAAAAATATAATATCCATTAGAAGAACTTCATTGTGCACTATCATAGCAAAATGCCTTCTAATTAATCATCTTTCCACATAATAAACATTCAAACACTGGGGCAAAATACTGACCCATATAATCTGAACTCCCATTATAGACCCCTGGGATGCAGACATGCTCCAGCCAAGACTGGCTGTAAAAACAACATTGAGGTCAATTGGTTAAAAGAAAGAATGTAATTCTAACAGAAAGATGCATGCTAAACATTATGTTTATATAACTTTCTTACGTTGCATGTACCGTGAATGAGGACACTTGAGAACATGTGACGGGAAACTAAATTACAAGGAAATATCAAAATCAAATCCTAAAGAAATCCTAACTAAAAGAGAAGACTACAAAAAATCAAATCCAATTGCACCTAAAAACCTAAGATCCTAATAAATCCTAATCGCAGCAGATCGAGGGGCATTGATCATCCTACATCAATAAACTTTAAATATTCCATGCAAGCAAGCGTACGCCCGTAGCAATGATGCTGATTGCTGAATCACTGTAGGGTTTTCATAAGATAAAGATTCAATGAACTTTACCTTAACTTGATTTTGTCAACTAATGCAACTGCAATATATTGGCCAGATAATATTAAGGCAGAAATTTCCGCCCCGCTTATTGACCTGCACTGCAGTTCAATGACAATTCACTGAGCCAGCATAAGAGACTAACCAGTAGCAATTTGCTAACAAACTTCAGCATGTAAAATGGCCACTAAGCAAATGAAGGCAAATAAGACATACTTTTATGCTAATTCCTGAATCAAACGCCTTATTGAAAAGGCTTTCCACCCGACACATGTCATCTTCTAACTGCTCCTGCACATATTCCCGATACCAAAATAGACTTAATTTACAACGACTAGAAATATGTTACTGACTACTTACATATTTTAGAGAATAAAAAATTGCAAATGCTCTAAGAAGTTATACAGAAAAGCTGAAAATACTATAATGATGGTGTTAAATAACTTTTAGCCATTAAAAAGAGAGAAACTAATGTTAAGTTTTGGCAAAGTCAGTATGATTGTTTTTTAATTCTTACAATATTATTATGCCGAAAAAAGAAACCAACGTACTTGTTCATGTATCTATACAATATATCAAGAAAAGTCCCCCCCCCCCCACCCACCACCACTCCCCCTCTCCAAAAAAAAAAAAATGCTCGCTGTGAGCTGCAATTTTAAATTTCTGAAAATGCCCTTACATCAGAAAAATTGTGAATACCCTTACACTTCAAAAAATAAACAAAATATGCCTCGCACTTGACAACATCTAAGGGAATGTTCTTACACTCGAGGAGGAAAAAATCACGGAAATGCCCTTAAAACAAAAAAAAAATCAACAAAAGTACACTCCAAATTACATCTGTCCATTTCCTTGACCATTCAATTACAACACTCCCCCCACGCTTTGTATCATGCATGCATCATGTGCACCGGAGTGCTATGTATGTATTAAGATGTCCATCTTTAGGACTTCATTAGCAGTTTAAGAATACTAGAGAGAATACTGGAGAACATGTAGCCAAAATTTCGCTTAGCCATTATGTGGAACTAAGACCACGTATCAACAAGGAACAGTATTGGAGACAGAGAGAGCATATTAAAGTTTCTATACTGAGAAAACAAAAGCTCACAACAAGAGGTATCATGTAATTGGAGTGAAATAACAAAAGAATAAATGTTTTGACCATGACAAGTTCAAGAGCTTACCCTATAAAAACTTTCTGCGGAATATTTTGGATTTGCTCCTAATGTTACAGTGAAAAATGAAAATTTTACAGAGAACTTGTGCAACAGGTATGCCAAATCAACTGTCCAGGTACTGCAGAACAAAAAATAGATTCATTAATTTCCTAAAGAGGATATATAAATCTCAGAACAAGAATGCTCAGCCATATATTCTGGTTTTTAGCATTCCTTATGAACTTGATTGAACGAACAACATTTGGTTGGGAGTCCATTCCGACATTTCTAACACAAACATATTAAGCACCCACAGGCAATGAAATTAAGAACTATAATATGAATATAATCTTCTACATACGTCAATTAGAAAATTTATTGACATTAGATAATTTCTATTCTGATAGCGGAAACTTGGCGCATTGACATAGTTGTATTCCCTTAACATTGTAATCGCTACAGTCTACAGTACATATTGGGAGTATCATATATGTTTCTGAATATGAACATTATGCTTCATCAGAACCTCGACAAAGTTCATGGGATATAGAAAGCATGGGACATTTCAACATTTCTGAATGACACGAACCGATACCTTTCATTGCTCATTATATTGGAAACCTTAGCTCATTAATCGTAATTGTTCCGATTTAGAAAGTGCCTACACCATATCATTCTCATATAAGTCACTGTATGTTACATTGGAGGAAATATGTTTCAAGATCGTAGTGTTTCATATTCTCAAAAAAGATCGTAGTGTTTCGCAAGGACTTTCTTCTCTTTGTAATTAGCTTTAACCTCCAAGATGAAGGATTAGTCAATTGCCTTTTCTCCGACATTTTACCAATGACCCTTCAGTCTGGATTCCTAAAGTGATAGTGCTCATTATTCATGACGCTATAGGATTCGTGTACATTGTCGTCTTCATCTTGAAACAAGCAGCATCATAAAAATCAACCCAAAATCCATACATATGTTTTTTTTTTTAAACATTTTTCTTTAAAACAACTCGCCTCGTCGTGGAGCAAAGCTCCGCTAGCTGATGGATATCGAAATCACCAACGCCGACCGTCATCAACACCATGGAAACGCAGGCGACACCGCAATCCCAGCTAAACAACTGCCGCACGTGAGGGACCTGCGAAAATTTTTCACGGCCTAAATAACTCCAAACAACACAAGGAAAAGATCAGTCGAAATCGAACGATCGTGAAAGGTACGGACGTCAACAAAATGAGAGCGGCGAGAAATCGAGGCAGCGCAGGCGTCGGCTCCTCGCCCTTCCTCGATTCTATCGTGCATCTTGTCGAATATGAGGCGTAAAGGCCACATCATTCAGTGAATCCTACGGTTCATCTTCGAACTATGGAGATCGCGATCTAGGGTTTTTGGAGCTAGAGAGGGAGAAATGATAAATAATAAATAAAAAGAGAAAAGGGGGAAGCTTTGAATTTTGCGCCAAGACGAGCAAATAATTGGGAGGGAGGAAATATCCAGAGGTGACTCGGCGTCGTCGTGACAGACAATAATTGCTGGGTGTTTCCATCTTCATGCCCTCCGGTGCTCATTGGGTATACATCCGCATGGACAGATAAATAACCATCAAATAATTTAAGAGCTTTGCTACAGGGACCCAAAATATGGGACCAATAGGTGGGACAAGTGAAGTGTCCCATTTCTATTGGATAATGAGTTGGTCATCATTAATGATGGCCAACTCATTATCCAATAGGAGGGGGACACCTCACTTGTCCCACCTATTGGTCCCATATTTTGGGTCCCTAAGGAATTTTTCATAATTTAATATTTAAAATATTAACATCTACATCTACTCCTATTCCCAATTCTGATGAAAGATACCGAGGAAGCTTTTAATTTGATCATTTACGTATTTAATTTGTTCACATTGTTTGCTTTGGTAACAATTTTCTTTGTTGCTTCTATTAATACGTTTACATTGTTTGCTTCGGTAACAATTCTATTAAATCATTTAAAAGAAATACAAGAATAAGCTTTACACGTGTAACTCTCTTCTTTACAAAGAAAACAAAATTGTGCTCCTTAGTAACACACACAAAAACTCATGTGTAGTAGTCTCTACCTGCGTGGGATTCTTTGCCCGTACCGAGGATGCGTTATCCGTGGACCACCGAGCAACGTTTTCAAATCGGATACGAAAAAACGCTTGAAGTTAATGTTTTGACGGGGAAACAATAACATAAGTAAGTGTCTTAGCGAGGTAAGACAAATACTCTTCTCGAGATCAAATCTAAGTTTGAACTCAATAAAACACCAAAGGACTCTTGAGAATGCTTGAAAGTGGATGAAGAACTCTCTCTTTTGCTCTCAAAAATCGCCAAACGCCAGCCTCTCTCTGCTTGATCACGCCTTCGTTCCTTGCACAAGTGTGTAGGTGGGTATATATAGGGGTAGGGAGCCATAACCGTCAAGTAGGAGTCAAAACACTTGGTGATCACTGTCTCATGTGGGTGAGACAGTGACTACTATCTCGGCCAAAGGAGACAGCTTCAGGGGTTTTGTGATTGTCGTCCACTACCTTAAAGTGCGTTAAATGCCGTATTTTTCGTGGGTAGTTGGCGTATTTTCAGGGTGAAACTGCTCATTAACGTTAATGAGTGTTCCTAAACAGTTACGGAGCCAAGTGGACCCCACAAAACTCGTCAATAAACTTGAAAGGTTGTCTCGTAGTTGGCGAGACAGCCGTCACTATCCCGCAGAGCCGAGACAGTCTACATTGAACGTGGATGTCTTCCCTGACTAAGATGATGATGTTCTTCGTCTTCTCTCTGTCTTGAGCTAAGTTTAGAACCTATAAGCAATTTTTAACGCCTACACACATATTAGTGTATACATACATATCATCTATATTTTCATGCTAATATGTCTATGTTTAATTATTTAAATCCATGTCTGCATGGATTTTCCCCTTCTTTTTGGGAAATCTAGCCAGAAATTGAACGTGGACAGTGTGGTGATGTTGAAATTTTTTTTTACAAATGATTTTCACATCTATGTTAGCACGCAAGTGAAATATAATGTTTGCTTGAAAAAATTAAATTAATGTTGAAAGCGCAATCTGAAGATGACGTGACAAAATAAGATTAATTAGAAAATATAATTAAAATTATTTAATTAAAATTAGTTACTGCTTTGTCACTTTATTTTTTCGAGGAAGTGAAAATTGCATGAAATACTATATGATAACTTTCTTGCATCTCACTTTCATAACCACGTATATGCAAACAAACACCTAAATTGTTAAACGAAAGTGACTTTTCACTTTCATCTTTCACTTGTATGCAAACAAACATCACCTGACGTTATGTTTTTTTTAAGTTAAGAAGGAACAAGATATTTGTTAAAATAGCACAAATTAGATTAAATGAAATACGGTATGCGTGTGTGTATATATATATCTATCATATAGTAAATCAACATAACAAAATCGTCCCCTTCTATGATGGATAAGATTTTGATTGAGTAACAAGAGAATAATAAACAATAAATTTCTTCAAATATCATGTGGACCATTAAAGGCTAAGAGGGCCCATGTATTTAACTATCTCAGTAAAAGCGGAGGCTCGCGTGCCTCTGCTTTTTTCAGTCAGGGCCTGCTTGGTTCCCACAAAACAGCTCTGAAAGTGAAAGAAAAACATTTTTTTTCCTGTGACACGGGAGGGGGGTGGTCACATGAATCCATCGTACGAAGGGTTGTTCGGTTCAGAAAGAAGAGTATACGGGGACTGGTTTGGATTGTTTAATATGATTAAAAGTATGGAAAACTGCTTAGAGTCACTAATAAATAAGAATCTATGCCTTTACCTCCCTAGAACAAAGTCCACTTCTATAAACTTGTTGGACCAAAAAAGCAATTCACTTACCCTACAATATCACCTTATAGCTCATTCCCTATTTTTTTTGTTCTGCTTTTACCCTTTGAATTAACTTTGTTAGTTTTTTCGCCGTAATAACTCCCAAATCCCTTCTCAAAACCCTAATCTCCTATTCCCGCCATCACTACAGTGGCCAAATCTAATTTGTTGATATCGGTTTATCAAACAGTGGGTTTGTGTCAGAGTTATGAGAGTGTTTATGGTCCTCAAACTCCTTCAAATGACCGGTTCCAAAGCCTGTTGTTCTTCTCTACACACAAAAAACTCGTAAGAGGGGCAGAGGTGGGTTCTCCAGTTGTTCCTCCGACGATCAAGTCAGTATTTTGATCTTGAGTTGGAAAATCAAAGACAAATTGTATAGGTAGTTATTCAAAGTTGCCAAAAAGTAGAAGAAGTTATCCTATGCAGCGTAGCTCCCTTTTATAGTAGATCAAAGGGGTATGAAGGTAACTTTAACCGAGTCCGTTCAGGCTACTGAGTCAGTAGATGTTTTCCAGGTATCAGCCACGGAAGAAAGTAAGTCATCTGGTCATTTAATGACGGAATGACAACAAGTGCTTGGAGCTGACTGGGTCTGACGAGTCATAAACACTATGGGGGTTAGATTAATGATGATTTTATTAGAGCAGTTAATGTGAGAGCAGTCAGCTAGCAAAGGGTTCAAGGTAATTGTTGGCTCTCTATTTGTTTGGTCAAGGGCCGAGAAGCACCGCCTTTTTAGTCGGCCTCGCAAGTTGTCGGCTGACATAGTAGGTTGAATGCATGTTGCTTGTAGGATCGTTCGGGTAAGATGGCCGACAAAAACCATCTTTTGACTCGGCTACGCAAGTTGTCGGCTGACACAGCAGGCCGAGTGCGGGTTGCTTATAGAGCTGACCTAGGTTAGCCGATAAGTACCGTCTTTTGACTCGGTTACGCAAGTTGTCAGCTGACACAGTAGGTTGAGTGCGGGTTGCTCGTAGGGCAAACGAGTGAGGTGGCCGAAAAGTACCGCCTTTTGACTCGGCTACGCAAGCTGTCAGCTGACACAGTAGGCCTTTGGAGTAGTTTGAGTCATCTCGGTCTCAATCCGTCTGATTAGACAAGGAGTGAGACACATGTCAGCTTCTCTAGGGAAATCAGCACTTCTTGATTTTCCAGGCTATAACATCATCTCACCACCGCAAGGGAGTGCTGCGTAGAAGGGCTTAGATGGGAGAATCTTCCATTGTTCATCCTTCTAATTTGTTGTATGATTCTCTTGGGCTTATTCGCTGCTCCTCCCCAACGAAAGTTTCGCCTCGTTGTAGGCACCCTCGACCCTCCTTATATACAACAGGGTGACGTCTGAATTAAACTGTATAAAGCTAGACATTTATTGGTTGTGCTCTCTTTCAATCTCCCCTCTCTCTTTTGCGCACAAAAGTTTGCTCCTTCAACCCTTCATAGCTTAAAATTTTCACTTGTCTCGTGTTACTAGTTTACCCATGTTGCTCACCAACTGCTCGATAAAATTCCCAGCTGTCGTTCCTCTACTCACTTAAAGTCGATGACAGACTGCCAATATCTCTATCAAGAGCCATTAGTTCTTCAAGCCCAGCGGCGCCTATGTAATGGGCATCAAAATAAATTGGAGCTTCATGTAGATCGCTAGCCGGTCGAGTGAATCGTCTGATGAGGATGAGAAGAAGATTTCTAGCATCAACCCCACGAAAATTTTCAGCCACGACGAAGAAATTATATTGAGATTCTCAGATGCGGTGGTAAATTTATTTAGACTACACAATGAGGAGAAAATTTCTTCGAACGAGGAAGTGGGTTCATTTGGAGAAACCCATAATTGTGCCCGGTAATTGAAGTAGAACCCATTCTTTGGCGACCCCCGTCTTCTCATAACGAGATGATAAAAATGCCTTAAGTATAGCCGACAAGATTAATGAAGTAATATATTATATTTTCTTTGAGATATTTGGTTTAAAAATGTTACATCCGCATGCCATTTGTTTCATTTGAACGTTAAAAATCTTATTTGTATGTTATTTGTGACATTTAGCAAATAAATAAATATTTATTTGTTATTCTGATGCTAAGCTACTGCATATTACATTTCTTTGTTAGTGGTGATGTTTAGCTGATGAACTTTACATTTATTTGTTACTTGTTATGTTCAGCTAATAAATGTTACATTTGTACACTATTTGTGACACTAAACTATTAAGTGCCACTGGGCACCTACCAATTCAAGTTCATAACTCAATAACCCATTACCAATGTCATACATTGAGAAAAACATATTTGCTATATTATCCACATATGAACCCACCTACAAATTCAAGCTCATAACTCGAGAACCCGTTATCAATGACATATACAGAGAAATATATTTGCTATTATCCAGATATGAACTCACCCGCCATTTTAAGTTCATAACTCGAGAACCCGTTACCAATGACATATACTGAGAAAAATATATTTGCTAGTGTTACTGATAGTGCAATTATATAATTTAAAAAATATATGAAAATTCGTCAGCGATAACTGCAAAAAGTTTTTTTTTATATAAATTAGGGAATCCTAGATCCACCGCTCGGTGTGATTTTTTAATTTTTTTATTTTTCAGGCGGGGGGTTGAAATTCTGAACTAAAACCT